CGTGTTGCGACTATTCTTCTTCTGCAAATTGAAACTTGAATGGATTGCATTACTTCAACCAAAAGATAAAACAAAGACAAATACTAACTTCACAGGGTTATTTTAGAACTGTTTAGCAGTATTGGTAACAACCGAATGAATTTACTAAGCAATCTAAGTGAAATGGTTAATCTAAGTGAAGTTACGAGTAAATCAAGTTAAATATAAAAAATCTTAAACTTACCTCGTTGCGTAGAGTATGAATCTCATTCTGCAACGATGCTACCATCTCACGTAGAGCCGCTACCTCACCACGTAAAGTAGATACCTCGTCACGCCATGCACCATTGTCATCGCGTAAAGTACCGACCTCCTCACGCAAGGCATTGACCTCATCACGTAACTCCCCTAACTCATCCCGTGGAGGTGGAGAACAGGGAGATAAATGTCGTTGCATCTTTTCCGGTCGCCTATCATGAGGTGATGGTGGAGAAGAGGCTCGATGATGTGACGGAATAGGTGATGGCTCTCGTTGTAGAGGTATATAGTTTGATCGATCAGGTGATGGCTCTGGGTGAGGTGATGGCTCTCGAAGTGGAGGCTGCTCAGCCTCCGTGGGTGTCAGCCTCTGTAATGGAGTGTTGTTCTCCTAACAATATAAAAGCTCAAACAAAGTTAAACGTGTACTAGTAATAACTTGTTTATATATATGGTAGTATTTGTGTTAACTTACATCATTTATTATCGTATACCGTAGTAACTCTTCCCAAATCAACAGTCGCCGTTTCCTCTTCCAAGAAATAGCTCTAGGAATATCATTTGAAGTTTTTAATGCATATGTCTGCATGTCGGGAAAAGCCTCAAATATCCAAATCTACAAAAATAATATAATACACAAACATTAGTAATTGTTAAATAATTAATTATAATTTTGGAAACATTATATAGAAATCCTTACCTTAAAGGCCCATATAAAGCCTGACAAAGTGTATTTGGAACCATCGCCACGCAAACTTTTGCGGTCATCAAAGGCAGACGACAACTTATTCCAGATAGTTTTCCATAGATACGAACCCCACGGAAACAGGTTCCATGCATTTAGGTCCTCTACCAATAATATTAGGTCCTTAGGAATAGGTTGTATGGCCTCTCTGCCTAAAAAGCCGGCATGCAAAAGTACTAAAAGGCATACTCGGACAATATCGACATCATCTATCCAAGTAAAACCATCTTTCTTATTCAATAATCTCGTCAAGTCATTGACGTATAAATTCGGCTTCTCCATTGACAGCTCAGGAAAAACCCAGGATAACCATGATGGGCGGGTAATATGACTAGTGTATCGACCTACATCATCGTGTCCGAAGCGTAGACCAGTGATTAAGCAAAACTTCTCCCGCCCAAAACACGTATACGGCGGTGGAAAATAAAACCATATCTCTTCATTACCACGTTTTATACTCTCAGGTAGATCGCTAGTCATGGTCTGAAGCCACAAATGGGTCAACTTAGCATCTCCACCCAGATGTTGTACTTTCAGCCATGGCCCGAAGCAAGTATCCTCAAACAATGTTCTTTGTACAGGTGAAAGCTTCGACGCAATTGTAGTGACTAGGCTTATTTTATTCCTTAAGGTCAATTGAGCCGAAAAAAAGTTCTACAAAAACAATAAACATACCAAGTTAGATTAAAAACTACACTGTGAAGATATACCAAAAATAATAAAGAGTAGTAGTAGTTTATTCTTCAAACTTAAATTTGTAACACTGTGAATTTCGTATTTGTCTTTATTTTTTGGTTGAAGTAATGCAATTCATTCAAGTTTCAATTTGCAGAAGAATAATAGTTTCTGAAACTTAAAATCGCAACACGAAAATGACTATCGCAACGCAAATTTGACTATCGCAACGCAAAATGAAAATCGCAACACGAAAATGACTATCGCAACGCGAATTTGACTATCGTTGCGATTTTCATTTCGCGTTGCGATCCTCGGTTTCAAATAGTCCTTGTCTAAAATTGAAACTTGAATGAATTGCATTACTTCAACCAAAAGACAAAACAAAGACAAATACTAATTTTACAAGGTTAAAGACTAAACAGTTTAGCAGTATTGGCAGCAATCGAATGAATTTAATAAGCAATCTAAGTGAAATGGTTAATCTATTATTGAAATTACCAGTAAACTTATCATCAATTTCAATATGAAAAACCTAATAATAATGCAAAAATTTCAAAATAAAAATAATTAAAAAAACTAACCCTCGGTGGTTGATTTGGTTGATTTTCCATTTCTGATCGTGAATGATTGAGAGGGTGGCTCTGAGAGATGGAGATAAACGGATTTCGTCGGAGATGGGGACGGATGTCGCCATAGAGAGTGAGAATGGAGATAGGACTGAGTTGTGATTTAGGTTTTTAGGTTAAGAGTTGCGATTACGGGATGTATTAATATTCGTGTTTGGAATTTGAAAATAAAATACGCATTGCGATACTAATGGCGCTTTGAAAATCGCATTGCAATTTTGTATTATCGTGTTGCGATAGTCAGAATCGCGTTGTGATTATGTATTATCGCGTTGCGATAGTTAGAATCGCGTTGCGATAGTCAAAATCACGTTGCGATTTACATATTCGCATTGCGATTTTACAAAATCGCAACACGAATTTGGAAAATCGCAATGCGATAGTCAAAATTGTGTTGCGAATCTGGAAACTGATTTGCGATACTGGAGATCGCGTTGCGATTTAGAGATCACATTGCGATTTTGTTGGTCATTTTGCAAATCGAAAAAAAGTTGGTCAAAATCGTATATTATAAGGAATTTTCAGTCACTGAGGTTATTTTCTCTTATTGATCTTAGTGACTATTCTATCGTTGACACGGGTTAATATATTAGTCATTAATCTTATAAGGAAATGGATAAACTGTACATTTAGTACCTAATTATCACTTTTATTATGTTTTGGTCATTCAACTATTTTTGTTCAAAATCATACCTAGCGTTTAATTTGCGCTTCATTTTTATCACATGCTATTAAAAAATTAACGATGATGTTGATCTGTCATCATAAGATAATAGCACATTATTATTGAAAAAAATAAAAATGACACAAGTTTTTCTGTTATTTTTTTTAACAGCGGGGGAAACCAAAACGTAATATTAGGCAGGGATAGGCATGAGTCGGGTTTTTGGTCCACCCGACCCGACTTGAGAACAAGGAGTCCTCCACCCGAGACCCGACCTGACCAAACCAAAATAAGTTTTCATCCGACCCAAACCCGACCCTATATATACCTTAAAAACCTGACCTGACCCGACCCGAAATAACAAAAACAATATTTTTATTCAAAAAAATCGTGACTTAATTGAAAAAAATAATATATAGAGGGGTATTATTGTAATTATTCCTAAATATTTAAAGTAAAATTATATTTTCGGGTCGGGTTGGGTATTTTTCACCCTAAACCCTAACTCGACCCAAACATCACATTAAAAAAAAACCCGATCCGAACCCAATTTTTTTCCAGAAATCCATCGAATTCGAGTTTCATGCCCATCCCTAATATTAGGTATGAATTTGGAAAAAAATAGTTTGATGATCAAAATAAAATAAAAGTGATAATTATGGTACTAGACGTATGGTTTACCCACATATATTCTTTTATTGATAACTTTAGTCGTACTATTAAATAAGTTTAATTTCAAAAAAAAGTGTGCCCAAATTATACCTCTTGTTTACTTTAGTTATCTATTTTTTTAATCAAAATATGTGTTTAACGTTTTTAAAGTTATCATTTTAAGGTCCAAATTAGTTTATGATCATTAAAAAATAGTTAACCACTGAAAACATGTTTTTAAACACGTCAGATAACGAGTTTTTTTAATCATCGTAATAGGCAGACACTTACAATAGTAACATCGAAAATGAGGACACTTGTTTTTCCATTAACCTTTTAAAAAACATAAAATTGTCTTTTTTTAATTAAAATATCCTCATATTTCTCTAAAAATAAATCCCAAAACCTCTAATTATAAAGTATATTATCTTCGACAGTCACTGTTGTTGTCGAAAGCTCACCCAATCGTCACCGAATCATCACTATCGACCATCTCTCTAATCATCGCCCAATTCTACTACAATCCTTAAATATTTATAAACTGTAATTTTTTAAATTCTCAAATACACAAACCCTTGATCCTGCTACTTTTGCCCTATAACATACCCACCCTCCTCGAAAACTTGTCAACTCGCTAATGGTGGTTGATTTTAATGACAACAATTAAGATTTAAAGATTATGATCAAATATTTAGGATCTCAGAGATAAGAATTAGTCTTATTAATCTTACGACGTTTTGTGAAAATAAAAAAAGTTCAAGGTTTTTTTTTAATTTTACTTTTTTAAAAGATAAAAATAAATACAATTTATGTCATGCGTTAAACACATATTAGTTGATGAATTCTTAACAGTTTTTTTAATAAATATAACAAAATTAACCTTAAAATAATAACATCATAAACATTAATCGCTTAATTTTTAAAAAAAATTAAGGCACCTAAAATAAACAAGATAGTATATATATTTTTATTAACCTGAAGTGGATACAAGATAATATTTATTTAAAATTAACATTTAACCATTTCATAGTAAACAATTTCATAATCATTAAGACTGTTTTGTTTGTGCAACAAGATACACTTATTGGTGGATTAGTCTCCTAACAATGATTTTCTTTATACACAGTGATTCAAACTCAAAAATTACTTAAACGATATAAAATTGCTTACCACTTGAACCAACCCTTATTAGTATATATGCTTAAGTTTTAATTAAACCTATTAAATAATATAAATATTATTTTATAGATATTTTTATACATATACTTATAAAACTTCAATAAAAACTTATTTAAATATTAATAATCATCTGGGTGGTTTTCTCCTCCGTCTATCTTCCCATTTTCTTCTCCTAACAAGAAACCTCTTTCATTTACAAGTCAATCCCAAATTCCAAAGAAATCCCAAATTCCAAAGAAATCCCAATTTAATTCAACCTTCAAATTCTCAAACATCTTTAAAAAATCATTTTGAAGTACCCTTGTTATATGAACTCTTAAAACCTACCTTTTTCTTTTCTCCCCCAAATTTGTGTTGAGTTGTTTTATCTTTTTTCCTTTTTCCAATGGCTGCTGCTGCTGCACTCAGATCGAAACCACCAGTTGAAACAGCCTCTTTAACGGTCTCTCAGTTCAGGCACTTCCTATATAATTTCATGCACTATGGTCGAATGGCTAGCTCCTCTCACTGTACCACTGTACCAAATGGGAAAACCACTCCGTCAACACTCCTTATTACTTCACTTCTTTCAAGCCCGTCTCGCTGTGCGGAGAACTCGTCGAGAAGGGCTCCCAGTTATTGGATATTAGGGGGAATTCCCGCGGTATGAATAAGGATTTCGATAGAGAGTTGAAAGATAAATTGAGTTGTAGTAATTTTACGGTGTTGAGTTCTTACGGGGACCCACCGGAGGTTTGGCAGTCACCTGGGGATGGGATTGCGATTCGGGTTAGTGGGGTGAATTTGGGCCGTGGAGGAGGAGGAGCGAGCTCGGGCTCTGAAGGTGGGTTTGGCTCGGGTTCAAAGGATGATTGTTGGGGAGGATCTAATATGGGGCCTAATTTTCCGACTCCCAAAGCGATTTCCAAAGCATTGGATAAGTTTGTGATTGGGCAGGAGAGGGCAAAGAAGGTGATTTATCATTGTTCTTGTTGTTATTATTACCATTATCGATTCCATTTGGACAAAAAAGGCATTGGTTTGAGCTATTGAAAGCAATAAGAGTACTTAGAAATTAGAAACTGAAGTGATTCATTGGTTCTTTGATGGCTCATGACATGACTGGTTTGAAGTTGTATGCATGTCATTATCTTTATTTGTGTTGACGTGAAGAAGTTGAATTATGTTATACGCTTGTCAAAATGATTGATATGGTTTTTTATCGTTTATGAGGCGGTAAAAGCTGAATGATAAAACTGTTGTTGAAGCTAATTAGGATATAACCATCCTTGTACATTATCTTTTTTTTTTTGGGTTTAATGACATTCCATTGATTCAGGTTCTATCTGTTGCGGTTTACAACCACTATATGAGAATCTACCATGAGTCCTTACAGAAACGGTTAGTTTATTACCTCCAAGATATGCTGTTCTTGTTTTAATCTGTTTCCTTCTTTTTATTGCTGTACTTGTAAATTCGTAGTGGTAGATGTTTGACATGGAGTTTTAGATATGTCTAAAATATTATGATTCATATTATTTATTCATGATGAAATGTTCACGAACTTTGCAATAAACAGGAACTTTTATCATATCAAAGATCCTTAGATATGATCTTTTTTTATTAGAGTTGAAAGGATTTTAATACCGGTAATCTGTAGTGAATTTTAGCATATCAAATATACCTTTGAATTGCAGTGTTGCTTTCAAAATGTGGTTGCTGCATTTTCATCTCTTGTGCAGTTGTGCGCATGTTTGAATGCCTGTCTTTGCATGTGCTTCCGTGTTTCTTAAGGTGAATATCAGTTATTTACATGTTTCCTTGGTAAGCTAGGCCTGCAGGAGATTCAGGTAGCAGTATAACAGATGCATTAGATTATGATAGAGTGGAACTGGAGAAAAGTAATATTCTATTATTGGGACCAACAGGGTCAGGTAATCTTTCAAAATACTTGGTGTCAAAATGGAGCATTTACTACTTTTTTTCCACTTTGTCGTTCTTAGTTTTTTCTCCTAGGTTCATGTCAATAGTGTTTTTCTTTGATTGAGCTGCAATTTTCTTAATTTATTGCAATCTCTTCCTCATTATTTTAAAATTTAAACTGAGGTGTAAGGGTTTTTTGACCCCATCTTTTTCTCATTATTTTTACTGCATTTGATATATTTTTCTTATTTTATAGCAAATTCTAGATCATCTTGGGTAGTTTCAACATATATTTGACTATAATCATCTCCATGTGGCTAGTCTCACATGTTCCCTTTTGACATTGTTTCAAGGACAGGGAAAACATTACTTGCCAAAACCTTGGCTCGCTTTGTAAATGTTCCTTTTGTTATTGCGGATGCGACTTCCTTGACTCAGGCAAGCTGTTGATTCTTTATTGTTGTTGTCTATAGAGAGTTTTGGGAGAAAATCTTGTATTATTTACCAATTAATCATAGCTATGTATATAAATAATCCTAGAATAAAATAACGTCCTAACTTGTAGCACGAGATACTTTTATTATAAGTATTACCGCCTGTAACACTCCCCCTAAAGCTGAAGCATAGATGTTAATCATGCCCAGCTTGCCGCAAAGATGGTCTATTTCATGAAATTAATAGTGAATATATGATTTTTTTATTCACTTCTATTATCTTTTTGTCTGTTCTATAAATATATTTGTCACTGATTGTGCCACTTTATTTTAAATTTTGTTATTTACTACATGAATGTCACATGGAACTCGGTTCTATCTTTCATATGCCATGTGCAGGCAGGATATGTAGGTGAAGATGTTGAATCTATATTATACAAGCTCCTTGTGGTAAATTCGATAATCTTATTTGTTCATTTCCCATTATCATTTATTGGCATGCATTTTATATATTTAGTGAATTCAGCTTTATTATTAATGGGAGAATATAGTATCTGCATTATATGAGTCTTCATATGTTTAACTTTAAAGTAGCATATGAAAGTCAATTGCCATGAGGCTAGTGTAATGTAAATGTGAACTTTTTTATCTCATGAAAAATTATCTGGGATTGTACGCTTAAGCATGTTGTTGGTTAAATAACCCCTTTATGAACGTTCATTTATACACATTTTCAGGCCACTGACTATAATGTTGCAGCTGCACAGCAGGGCATTGTTTACATTGACGAAGTTGATAAAATTACCAAAAAGGTCCCTTTGTTTCACCTCTGCAAAATTTGTTTTTTTTTTCTTTTTATTTATAATTTCTCTCCCCTCATCTCTTAATTTTTGCTATGCAGGCAGAGAGCCTTAACATTAGCAGGGACGTGTCTGGGGAGGGTGTTCAGCAGGCATTATTAAAGATGCTGGAAGGAACAGTGAGTGCATAGTTTACTAACTGGGGATGCATTATATTGTAAATGACAAGTCAAAGCTGTGGCCCGAGGCACCGGATTCTAGGGTTGTCTCTGGTTATGGATCAATTCCGGATCAGATGAAATTTCCAGTTGTTGTCAACTAATAAGCTATGAATCACTAGTTAAAATTAGTATTTAATCAGGTTTGTTTCATAATATGTGGTTAACTATCCTTACCTGTGGATCCAGATTGTTAATGTTCCTGAGAAGGGAGCTCGAAAGCATCCAAGAGGTGAAAATATTCAGGTATACATTACATTATGCAGTGTGTCACATGGAAAAGATATTCATGTTTTTCTTTTTTCAAGTTTTGATTTGGATTACATGATAGGCATATATTATGCATTTTCATGTTTGTTTCACCTCTATTTGAGCCTAGTTAGTTATTGTTGATTTTTCTCTTCTTTTTACCTTTTTACAGATCGACACAAAAAATATACTCTTCATATGTGGGGGTGCCTTTATAGACATTGAGAAATCAATCTCTGAAAGGTTATATACCTATATAGAATATGAAGTGTTCCACAGTTTTCTTTTCTACTCAATGTTGATTGAAATTTTCTTGACTACATTTCAGACGACAAGATTCTTCTATCGGTTTTGGAGCTCCAGTGCGTGCAAACATGAGAATTGGTGGTGTTACAAATGCTGTTGTAGCGTCATCTTTAATGGAAAATGTAACTTCTTTATAGCATTCAAGATGATTATTATCCATAAATAGCTTAGACATAACATTTTAGATACTCAAACCCCCCGTGTTTGGCAGGTTGAAAGTAGTGATCTAATTGCATATGGTTTGATACCGGAATTTGTTGGACGATTTCCTGTTCTTGTCAGTTTATTGGCTCTAACAGAAGAACAACTTGTTCAGGTGGATGCTTTAATTTTTTCACGGCCTATAGTCCACAAATTATTTTTTTCCTAATAGTAATGTTCTAGGTTATTATTGGATGATAGGAATGGTGGCCAGCAATTGATAACATTGTTGAAGTCATAATTTTAAATTCTTTTATTAGGTTTCATGAATGACAAAATTACTTGTCTTACCTTATCCTTCATCTCTAGATACCTTTTGAAAAAATTGTAATGGAAGGTCAATGAACCATGCACAGTTTATCTAGCATTATTTTAATATATTTTGCACGAGTTCTACTGTTTTTATTGAACTTCCAATGCGTCTGTCACTGACACCAATAATATTTTAGGTCCTAACAGAGCCAAAAAATGCACTAGGCAAGCAATACAAAAAGATGTTCCAAATGAATAATGTAAGTTCTTTATGTGTACCTGCTTTGAAATGCTAATTCATTTGTATTCAATGCATGTTTAACTTGTCTGCAATTATGCACGGCCAATTTATTTCACTTTGATTGTCTTTCTCACAGGTCAAACTACACATTACAGAAAATGCTTTGAAATTAATTGCCAGAAAAGCAATAACTAAAAATACAGGTGCTCGAGGCTTAAGAGCCATCTTGGAAAATATCTTGATGGATGCCATGTATGAGGTATGGTGACCAACTATTAAGATCATAGGGTGCTGGTGTTCCTGTTAGAAGCATGTGCTGCTGGGCTTGGTGATTTAAGTGAACAAAGTTTTATATGAACTTGGTGTATGCTCAATATCACCTGTTTAAATCTGGAGCTTCTACTAACCAATGTTGCACATTAACTTAGGAGATTTTGGTGTCAATTAGAACCAAGTTCATGGCTATAATTGTTTCTTCAACTTCTCTGTTTCTCTCGCTACCGACCTTACCATCTAGAGAAATGGGCCTTGGACAGTTGGAACCTATGTTGCCTCAACAAAAGTATTCATATCTGACATTCATGTCTGACACATTTGAACTTTGTATGGGGATCTAGCCTGTACACAGAAATACTAAGCAAAAAATAAAGCACAGCTATGTCCGACATACTTGTATCTTGCACAGACTCAAGTCTGTGTAACATAGGTTTGGACTATCTTATATGGCATGCTTTGGCCTTTTATGGACTTGAGCACTACTACGATAAGTCACCGACTGGAAGGACCATTCCCAGTTCATCCTTCTATGGGTCCCGGTCTGGTGATACTAACTATTTAACGACCTCATTCTCTGTCTATCCCCAATCTCTTGCACCTCCGCCCTCACAAATTCTTTGCCATCTAAATTGGAGTCCTGTTGCCATGTTTGAACTCAGCTTGATGTTTTCATGGGCATGAGTTTATGGATCTTGTGAGATTCAACAGAAAGTTTCCGAGACTTTTGGCTTTGTGGGTTAAACAAACACTAAAGTATGACTGCATTGAATTTAGAATAACGTGTTGGCATCGGATTTGTCTCTGTTCCTTTTAGTGACTTTGAATTGCTTATTTTGTTATCAACCAAATTCTTTTTGATAGCATGCAACTTGTTTTTTGTACAAAGGAGGACGCCACCTAAGAATAAGTCAATGGGTCGCAAATGCCTGAAATTCAAATCCTGAGCCTACTTAACATCACCTTTTAAGTGCATTTGTATGAACCAATTAGGTTAACCTTTGATTCTGACACTATGCAACTTCAATTTCATGGATCCTGGTCTCTCTTCTTGCAGATACCAGATGTTAGGATCGGTAATGATGTGATAGATGCAGTAGTAGTCGACGAGGAAGCCATTGGATCCGAAGGCCGAGGACATGGAGCTAGGATTCTTTATGGTAAAGGTGCATTAGACAGTTACCTTTCACACAAAAAATTGAAGGACTCGGAGGTGTGTACGAGTTTGAGTTTGCTATGAATTATGTGTTTTTGCATTAAGATTGGTAATCATGAAATGTGAATAGCTGATATTAAATCCACTGTGTTGCAGACAACCGCGGATGGTGAGCCAGAGGTGGAACCGGAGCTTCCTTCAGTTGTTGCCAGTATGTGATAAATATATATATATATTGATGAAATTAGAGATGTAACTCAATTGTACATAAAAAGCTCGCATTGAGTTGAATAGATTGTACAATATACATATATAATCACTTCATATGGTAAGCAATAAGCATGCAGCTTTTTACTTCTATTATACTTACCGTCATGTAGTGGGGAACCAACCCCACACACACAGAGATCCCGTTCATGCATAACATATTTATTTTCAAAACAAATTTAACAATACAAAGTAGAAATGTAAATCAAGGACAGTTTATACGTATGAAAACATACATATATATAGCGCCTCCATCAACATCTAAAATGGTAATTAAAAATCAATAGTACTGCGGTGTGTGTAAACTTTGGTTTAGAAAAGTCGTTGCTTAACATTGAAATAAAGGCTTAAACTAACCCCTAAACTATAATACTTTTTTTATTTGTACGAGTGATTACAAAATAATCACTTGATTCATGTACTAACACAATTACTTCAATCTAAATCTTGTAAATAAACCATATCTATTCTTACCATTTAAATCACCCAATTAATTATCAATAAATTGACAATCACGATGATTAAGTTAAAGCTGCGTTACAATATCAAAATAATACTGTATTACACAAACCAAACGCACAATAGAAGTACTAAAATTACATTTGTATCCCCACCGTGGGCTCAACGCCTCCTATTATATAACCCTAAGCAAACGCTCAACCGGCTGCTAGAAAACTCTACACTACTTCGCATCTCCACTCACCCGAGTCAAATCATGGCAATAATCTCCGAGTTTCAGGAAGAAGAGGCGAAACTCTCGACTTCTTCATCGCCGCCACTGAAAGCGGTTCCGTTTAACGCGAGCTTGGATCCATCCGATCCAGTTGGGTTTTTGGACAAAGTCTTCGATTTTCTGGCCAAAGAAAGTGATTTTCTTCGGAAAGAGAACGTCGATAAGGAGATTGCGGCTATTGTGAGAGTTGCGAAGGAGAAGGACAAGAAGGCTGAAGAGGTGGCTCCGAAGGTGGAGATAAAGGAGGAAATTAAAAAAGAGGAGGTCAAGGAGGAAGTGAAGAGTGAGCCAATGAAGGTTGATAAAAAGGAAGAAGAGAGTAGCTCTGGTTTGAAAGGTTCGAATTTCTTGATTTCTTTTAATTTTTCTTATTATTATTCTAAAATTTTTGTATGCGAGGCTAACTTGGGCCTCTTTAAAAATATAGTAATCTGAGGTCTGCATTGCTCATTGTTTGATTCTTTTTGTTTTGAACTTTAGATGACGAAAAGGATCTAAAGGATTAAAATTGTAATTACTTACTAGGCTCTTTAGGGTTTAAATTTTTGTTTATAGCACGGTTTGCTTGTTTGGAATGAAACTAAAAAATAAGACCATGCTCTGCTTCTTTTTACTGTACTGAAACTTGAGAAGAGTCTATTGTTTGTCGGATATGGAAAGGAACCTTATATTAAGCAAGCTCGAGCAAGTTTCAAGAGTTGAATAACATAATCGAGCTTGAGCTATGTGCTGTCTATGAATTTGACTCAAGCTCAAATACAACCCTTTAATGTAGTGCTGGTCCTCTATCCTGTTGTCTAACATTTTTTTTTCATGTTGTCTTTCACGGAATTCACTAAAAAAGTAAGTTAATAGGTGTCCTTGGTGTGAGGGCTTTTGAATGTTTATTTTGTTCTGAAGAGAAGAGACATGGAAACATTTTGGGTAGGATTCTTTTGTCCTGGCATGTTTTGGACTTTAGTTGAAGCGGGGAGGTTTGTTTGCATAAGCTTAACGATAGTCTTGGTGTAAGTTGGATTTGATGCTCCCTGAACTTGCATGCACCTGAAACTTCTAGGCATTTTCTTAGAAACATGGTAGTGAAGGATTTTAGTTAGCAACAATGTTTATAAATTGAGGGAGGTCAGAATAGATGTTATACTTGGATCAACCATGCACTAATGTTGAATTCCCATAAATTCTTCTAGTATTGGATGTTGTAGACAGTGCTAGATTTCACAAACTGCTTCGTATATATTGAATTGCATGGTGTTTTCTCTCTCTCTCTGCCCCCGTCTTCTTGTTCTGTTAACTGGTTTAGATGTCTATTCTCACAATTAGGGCTAATGGTTGGTGTAGATGGTATGATTTTATTACAAGTGGCTATGTTTGTCAAATCCATAATTGGCTACAAAGATGTGCACCCTGTTGGATTGCCTGTAATAAAGGGACTTCTTTACTTCTTTTGGTTGTATGGGTGTCTTCTTTTTATTGGTTGTTTGGGGGGGGGGAATGGAAAATGTTTGTGATTAAATTGGGGTTAACACATGATCAAGTTTTGCATTGAGGATTTTGAATTTGGCATTGTAAGAGGCATGCAAAAATGTAACTCAAAGACTAGTTAGGTTCACTGTATTATTTATACTTTTCTAAATGTTTGGACAGCTCCAAACAAAGGCAATGGTCTTGACCTGGAGAAATACTCTTGGACACAAACCCTGCAAGAGGTCGCTGTTAATGTTCCAGTTCCCAGTGGAACAAAATCAAGGTTTGTTGCATGTGAGATAAAAAAGAATCATCTCAAAGTTGGATTAAAGGGCCAGCCTCCTATTATTGATGTAAGTTGGTCCATGTGTCTTTGAGCTAGTCTTAATTGGTTTATGTCAGAGGCACATACTTATTTTTGTTTTCAGGGGGAACTTTTCCAAGCTGTCAAACCTGATGATTGTTACTGGAGCATAGGTATGTTATCTCAAAGAAAATACGAGTTGTGTACGGCAAGTTGAACTTTATTTGTACTTTTCTTTCCCCCCTTCAGCTAGAGCTTACAACTTTGCAATTATTAGTTTTGCAAGTATTTCAAAAATATATGTTTTTCCTTTTTCGGACTCCTTTGTGTGTGTTGTATGTGATTGTGTATCTGACACGAGTATATTCAATTTTTCCATATATTCTGGGTGTCGACGTGTTGTAGGATGGTCTTAACTCTTATCTCCATACCTATGTCTGAAATATGTCCTACAGAGGTATTAGACAAAGAAATACTTTAAAAAAATGAAGGGTAGGGTGAATATATTTAAACTCCAACCTATCTTGATTTGTATATTAAATCAATGTCGTAGGTGGTTACATGAACTTCATACATAAATGCTTTTGAATCTCATTTATATCGTCAAGAGAAAAGAAGAAGATGATCTGCTTGAACTTTACTATATTGCTTTTGTAAATGTGCAGATTTCTTTTCTTTCTTTTTTCTCTTTTATATCTTTATGTAATATCTTTGCTTTCTTGATCAATTAGTTATACTGTTTTATCTGTGTTGTTGGAATTGTCTATAATAATCATATTGTTATCTTGAAATTCCGTTTTAAGACTATACATTTTTGTGGAAATGAACTAAAAATACCTCATTCAATTCTGCATCATTCACTTTTATCGGTGGTTTAAAAAATCTTTCCCAAACTTCTTGTAGAGGATGGTTGTGCACTGTCAATCCTTTTGACCAAGCACAACCAAATGGAGTGGTGGAAATCATTGGTGAAAGGGGATCCTGAAATTGACACTCAGAAAGTTGAACCGGAGAACAGCAAACTGTCTGACTTGGATCCCAAAACACGGCAAACCGTAGAGAAGATGATGGTAATTAGTCATGCCTTTTCTATTATATTTGGCTTTTGGATGGTTTTTATTTCTGCCAAAGGAGCTGTCCCGGAACAAGTCAAATTGCCTAGTTTTTAGTATTTTTTGCTTTTGTTTTCCTATTGTAACTTTATGTATCTACATTTTAGAGTTTTAAAACTTTGGATCCATCTTAAAATCATAGTCTGGACTCGTCACAAAAACTGTATTCTTTGTTGCAGTTCGACCAACGACAGAAGGCCATGGGCCTTCCAACCAGTGATGAGCTTCAAAAGCAAGAAATTCTGAAGAAATTCATGTCTGAGGTAATTAATTGTTCTCTTTCAAAACTTGTTCATCCAACCACGATTGCAACCGAGTTTATTAAAAGCCTCATATGGAGCTCTTTAGGTGATAAAATTTGCTTAAATGTTTTTTGTTGGTAATTTTGCAGCATCCTGAGATGGATTTTTCAGGGGCAAAGCTCATGTAAGCCATGGGAGTGGATCTCAGTTTTTATGTTTAGTTTTTCCTATAATCCTTTCGGGTGGGGCTTGTTTTGGGCGCTGAAATAGAAATGAACACTGTTCATAGTGGATATTTACAAAACATTTGAGAACATCAGATTTTATTTGCCTTGAATTTAAGAGTAATTCAAGAGTTTAGCTGTCCTTTTTTTAAAAAATCTGGGGTAAGAACAACAATCTGGCAAGTTGAAGGGAAATTTGATATAAAAATAAAAATACTTTTGCAATTAAGTAATACGATAGCTAAACAAGGTTGGATTTTATGATAATTAGGTTCAAATTTGCTTAATTATAATTTTGGGTTTTTATTTTTTGAATTTTATTTTGATAAAATAACTATATTTTATGATTTTTATAATATTGTGCGGTAAAATTTCAATATACATGAATTTTTTTTAAATTTTTTTTTTTACTATTTGAAATATCAAATGTTTGTTTTTTATATTTTATAAAATAAATGGAAAAAAAGGAAGTTCAATTTAGGCGAACTTATAAATTATCAACTACCCAAACAATTCAATTAGATGTTCAATTTATTTACCCAGTGTTGCTGCCTACCACAATCTACACTTTTCGTGTTCGTACTGGAAAGCCTTGGCCTTCTTAAGCTGATATGATGCCATGGCGGTTTTGATGAATGGTCCACGGTTGATCAGGAGCGCCATAACAGACAGGTTACCACAGATAAATTGTATTCATTTAGGGCCATTTGGTTCACGGCATACAATATTATCAGGGAATAGAATCTTCATTCTCCCATTTGGTTGGCCGGTAATCTTATTCTCGGTAATCTTTTATTTTCAACAGTTGATTTTTTTGGGCATATTACCGGGAATGTGATTACCTCCCTTCCCTTAGGTATTGTTGGATTATCGGCGTTTTGGACTAAAATGATTTTAATTTTTTTTCTTCAAAATTATCCTTCTGTCATTGAATAATAAAAATTCTATGAATGTTAAATTATAAATTTATCCTTAAACTATTTTAGATTTACAAAAAAAAAGTCCATAACTAGAATTTTATATGAAGTTCAGGGGTTAAAATAAAATTTTACCCTTTCATTAAACCTATTTATATTTTCAATTTTTTAAAAAAAATTATGTAAATTTTATGAATTTAAAATTTTTAAAGAAAATATATAAATTAAGTATAGTAATATTATAGTAGAATTCAACTTGTTAAAAACACAAATATATAATAAGGACAAATTAGTAAAATATATATTTCAATAATCTTTTATTCTTTTAACCAAACACGGTAATCTTACATTCCTATTAAACCAACCAAACACAAAATACAAAATTCCTAGTAATCCTATTCTCTGATAATCTTTTATTCTCACTGGTAATCTTACATTCCGTGAACCAAACGCACCCTTAGGCTAAACTACACGTCTGTAATTTTTTAGTATTTAAACTATTACTTTTATTTTATTTTGGTACTTAAAGTTTATTTTTTATTTTAAATTATATATAACATTTAATTTATGTTTTATTTTGATATTCAACCGTTAAAAATTAATAAAACTGATAATGTGAATTTTTTTAAATGATGATGTGGTATTACTATATGTTGACATATCAACGTCATCGTTAAATTTTTAATAGTAGGATATCAAAATGAAACATAAACTAAATGTTAGGTATAAGTTTGAAGAAATAAAACTTAGGCATCAAAACTAATCAAAAATAGTAGTATAGATACTAAATGTACTTACCTTTTTCATTACTATATGAGAATTTATTTAATATATAACTTACGTAAAATTTAAAAGTCACAAATATATTTATTTAAATTTATTTACTATATAAGTTCGAACACCAATGACTGCGAAAGTTATTAAACGTCAATCGTCAAATGATTGAAAATATTTAAAATAGATATTATTTTGTAATCTCCTTGATCAAAGAAATTTATTTAAATCTTAACCATCAAACTCTAAATACTCATTTATATAATAAAAAATATAATTTAATCACCGACAATTGTAAAATGGATTCTTAATACGATTTAGCCCCTAATTTTAGTTCAATAAAAAATATCTGCATTCGTGAGATGCTTAATCTCAAAACCGGATTTGTCTAGAAATTATTCAATCTTAAACCCGGTTTCGACCACTGGTGGCAGCCGTCGTCCCGCGGTTCATTAGAGCACAATACACCATGTGCTGTTAGCATCGATAGATCAAAGGGGATAAATAGAAATAGTAATCCTCTAAAAATTTTAAATTATTATATATTTTAAATATTCTTTATATTAATAATCTATTTTCGCCTAAGTAGAATTGTTGTATAACATCTCTACAAAGCATAAGATAATACTTTAACCATCATATAAATTCACGAAGGTTGAACCAGTTAAAAATACACCAATTTTTGCCCGACACAGTGTCGGTCTTCCGTGGCGTAAAATGGCTCGTCTCGGCACTCGTATTCACAAGGTCTTGCCAATAGTAAATTCTTTAATTGTTTCTCGAATGCCACTACTTTAGTTCGGCTAGAAATTGAGTCGATATCTTAACATTTAATAAACTATTCCAACATCTATCCCTCAGGTTGCCACAAAGCATTAATCCTAAATGATCAAGGAAAACATAACCGGTTACAAAAATACGCAAAGTCCGCAGGAATGCGAAACGCGGAACACTCACTTCTCAACAGAAGCATCTTTAAATCAGCCCCTGCCGCTGCAGATCAGTATATGTCTTCTTGTTATAGATGTTACCCTCTTATCTTCGTATTCTTCTTCAAGATCAGGGCGCCACTTGTTCACTCCTTGCCGTTCTCGTATCCTCTCCCACAGTTCTTGTGCCTCCTGCAAGTTTTGAATTTTATGCTTACAGGTTAATAGTTGGCTAAGAGACAATACAGACCCAACACTTTACTTAGACCCGTATACTTTTTGTCATACCGAAACAAACACTTGAAATTTAATTCGTATGCAAATAAGCCCTAATATTTAACATGTATCAAACAAACAAATAAACTCTTTTAATATTAGATCTGAAATAAGAACTTATTCAAGTACAAACTAAAGATAAAGGCACATATGCCGAAAGATTTCTCTGCTTAATAATAATACAATAGCAACCACCAATGGAAATGGCACATAAACTCAATCATGAAAAAACCACAGGCAGGCTGATGCAGGAAGAAACACAAATTGTTACGCAATATCTGAAAATAAAATATCAGATACCTGAATATTGGTGATTTCATTGAAGTTCTTGGTGTTAGGAATACCAAGGCATCGCATGCCGTGCTGATGCCGCCATTCTTTGAAATGCCTCTCGAAAGCCCGTCGACCCCAGTAGCTATAGTTCCCACAAATCTCGCACTTAAATTCCTGAAGAATAAAAAGAAATAGGGAGAGAGCTCTATGAGATCCTGTGACTTAGAGATAATGAAGAACTGAGCAATCAAAGAGTGAAGAAAATTACAAAAGCCCTTGTGCAGCCACAGCATCCTCAACCTATCCAACACCCCTAGGTTCGATTTGTAGTGAGCAAGCTCAATTAGGCTCGTTTTATCTAAATAAATATAAAAATGATTCTCATGCTTAATCTCAAGCTTGATTATTTATGCTCAAGTTTGAGTTCTCTCAATATTATTTAAAAACAGAAAACATCAACCATTTATTAGAATTTGTTGTAAAACATCAAGGAAAATATACCAATAGATTTAAGAAAAGAAAAACAATAAAAAGAAGCAAGTGTTAAATTCATTAGAGCGTTCACTGTTTCTTGTTTAGTAATCTCTAAGTTGGCAAAGTAGCTATGCAGGCAAAAGTTCACCTCACGTGTAGAATTAGAAATTACCTGACCAAGACCATGAAGTTTGTAAAGCCAGTAAGGTATAGGCTTTCCATCCCAACCCATTGGCAATTTAAGAGGATTATAAATCTGTTGATCTTCATCATCACTTTCAGTGTCAACTTGTGTCTCTTCCTGTTAGAAAGCAACAAGTTCTTGTCAGAAAAATACAGCAGGCAGAATTTAAAGGTACCTAATATTTTAGGGAAAAAGTTTATGCTTTTGTTCACTATTTTTCTTAACAATACAGGGACAGACTCAGTCCCTGGTTAACCAAGACATTTGACCAAATGCTACCCCCTTCTTATAATGCGAAAAAAGTCCAACCAAAGATAAAACACACATTCAGTGAATAATCGAAGTCCATGGTAGAGGAGGGGAAAACCAAAATATTTAATCAGTTAATTCATTCAAACATATCTCATCCCCTCTATTTGTTTCGCCTGAAATAGTCATAGGAATCGAGTAAAATTCTTAATTTTACCATTTAAAATGGGCCCTTCATATTTAAGTACAACACAGAATTTTACCCAGTTACACCCCGAAGTGAGAGCTGCAGACCAAAAACAGTGTTGAAACCAAGTGGATTGGTTCATACAGGCCCCCACATTCAAAGCTCTATTACATGAATTATAATCATACCAACGCAATAAACATCTGAATTTTGCTCTATTATAAGAAACACGTGAATGGCTGTACCACGAGATTAACTTACCTCTTCACGTTCTTGTTCCATTTCCTCATATGTCAACGCTTGCTTCTTTACCACATTTTCTTTTGTTTGTTCAATAATCTGCCAAAGATGACAGAAATATAAGTTAAATATACCCACTATAATTACTATATCTGCAATACAAACATCGGCAAAATGTACTTTTGCAAAGGCTTTCTCTCACATTTCAAATTTTTTATTGAAGATAGTTAAGGGCAAAGTAAGCAGCCAACTAACCTTACTCAGTAAATCGCAGAGTTTCTTCATCTTGGCCTCCATCAATGCAACATGTTTCAGACTGTTAATGTCTTGTGAAACTGCAGTGGACCCATTTTGTCGAAGTCCATGTGAGCATTTTGCAAAATGTTTCTTGTCCAGGTTGTCCAAAGGTGTATGCTGCGAAAAAATGTAGACATCAAATATATATTGTGTGAATTTATTTGATATAACAGTACCGGTAATAAAAACAGCTACCATTAAACCAGTCTATAACAGTCATCCCAAAACCCCACATAACAACCTAGTACTGTATTATTTCATAGCTGTATCAGGCTTTGAGCCCTATAACCTATTTCCTTTCCACGTGACTTCAAATTATATATTCCTAATT